TCAGGACAGAGATCATGGCTATTGTCAACAGGCATACATGAAGTTTAAATTGTGTTTATGGTGTTTTATGCAGTATTATGGCACCCTTTTACATACAAATAAAAAAAAAAGATTAAAAAAAAAATAAAGATTCTACTATATAGGTCTGCTGGTTTCAACTCACCTGGTTAGAATTTCACTTTCTGGCCAATCTTTGATATATATGGGAGACCTTGGTTGTAGCTGACACAGCACAGAATCACAAAAGCCAATATGCTCCAAAAAATCTTTGCAGTAAAAAAACATACAAATCTAGATCACATAAACAAACCTCTATCTCACAGCCTCGTCATCTTCCATGTCTCAGCAATGTTTTCAGTCTACGTACAAGAAAAACAATTTTACTTTCGTGAGGTCTGTTTTGTTTTGGCTTTGTGCACAAAACTGTTTTTCCTTCTGCTGTGTGAATCGTTGCATCTGTTAGCAAAGCTCTGTGTGTACTTCGTAAAGCTGAACACTGTCATCATGTTTTGGTCAGCAGAAGCACATATGGTGATGACTAATCATTAGATCTGTGTGCATGAAAATTTTTCTCGGGCTGATGGCCAGTCATCTTTTTTTCCCATGTTTTTTGAATTAATACAGGGCCACCTGTTTTTCATCTTTGAAGGGAAAACAACATGTTTTGCTGTTAGGTAAAAATGGCTGCAGAATCAAAACGGAGATGAAAATAAGGCTGCGCTCCAACAATAGGATGTTGCTGGGGTAAAGGGCTGCTTGCTTACTCTAATCTTTCCCACTCCAAACCAATGCCTAAACCCAGCTAGTCACAGCCGATCTGTTGGGACGCCCACTTTGGTCAACATGCCTAAAATATTTTGTCCAAACTCCAGGCCTGCCGTGGGCTGCAGTCACATCTGATGAGAGGCAGTTACAAAGAAAGGAGAAAAGAGGGGAGAAGATTTATTTTTTTGTCTATACCACAGAACTGTTAAATTCTCTCTCCACTATTCTTACAGATTTTCTCTACCCATTTAATCCTTTCCAGGGTCATGAAGGGCTGGACCTTACCCCAGCATGAATTAAGCCAGAGGACAAGAAAGCACCCTGGAAAGTTTCCACTCTGTCTGAGGGCTAATATGGGGAGACAGACAATCACGTATAAGGCAGTAAGACAATTCAGGGTCTCTGTTTCATCTCACGGGGGGTAAATTGAAAGAAACAGTAAAAGCCCCAAAAAACACGTAAAAAAAACAAAAGGTAGACTGTGCCACCTCAGCACACTTAATTGTACAGTGGTTTTACTTCATCTCCCCTAAAAAAAATCTAAATATTTAAGAAGCCATTTCTTTACTTTCCTGTATTATATATAGAATATATAAAACACAACCATTATCGTAAATTGTGTCTCTTCACCTATTAAACCAATATGGTCCCCTTTAAGCTAAGAAACTTTATTTGATATAACTTAACGGAACATCAATTTGTCAATGCACTTTTCAACTTTTAGAATAGAGGGAAAAAACTGCAATTTAGTAATTACCAATGTCACATTAACTGAAAACCAAAGGGTACTTAGTTTAACCTAAACCAAAAACTTATAGCTAAACTGACCCAAGATCTTTACTTTAACACTGAAAATCTTACTGTGTGGACCATTGGTTTAAATATTTGAACAGATGGGAGCAAAATCTGGAAAGCTTAATTGAAATCAAGGCATTTATCCTCTAACTGTTCCAGCCGAACTGCTCAGTGACCAAGTGTCTAAAACGTATGTTGCACTGGAAAGATATTGTAAAAGTTTGTAACTGATGCAAAAGACCAAAAAAGAACAAGTGTACAGCTTTCTGGATAAAGGAAGATGGAGCTGACTTGTTTAAAATAGCCAACACCATGTAATTTTCAGCTATTTAAAGAGGAACACTAGAAACAGCCTGTATTGACTGAAGTCTCTTTTGTAGCAAGATAATTGCGTGTTCTCTCTGTTGATATTTTCTTGACAGACAGAATTCCTACAGACACAATGCATCTGCTGTGTTTACAGCATTAACATTTTTCAGTAGCCTATTGATTTTTTTGCGCTACTTCAGTAAGTATATTGTTTGTTGCAATTATGAGAGTGTATTTGAACTGCAAAAGATACCCAGTGCTCATCATGTGTCATAACCAATTTGAACTGGATTCACAAAAGCAAGTAGCAGCCACTATTATTGCTGGAGAGAAGCTCATCAGGAATGCAGGTCATGGCTTATGAAAAACCCTTTGTTCAAGTACGCCAAGAAACTTCTGTCTTCTTCTCCTGTCAGAGGCACTCCTTGAGTTTAAGTATTCCCTGTTCAAACAGATTCACTGGGAAACACTCCAACAGTACTGTGCTTCATTGCCCAACCCATCACCTCATCCCAACCTGCTGAAGACTTCTGATCTGGAGAGGGCCCGGAGACACCCCTTACTCCTCAGGTCTCCAGCTTATACTAGCTGTGCTCTTACATTAACATTACCTGATGTGCTCAGAGAAGGCTGAAAAAGCTGACCGCCTCACCCACCTCATGTCTAAAACAAAATGTGTGCCCCAGTTCACCTAACCTGACAGCGCTTCTTATCCTCTTGTCTCCTTTGCTGCTTTTCCACTGTCCAAACAAAGACGAGAAGAACAATCCGTCTATTTTCCTTAGAAAAGGGGAAACGTTGATTGGCATACCAAAGTGAAAAGGCTTCCCACTATGATGAAGGTGACTCCTGCAGTCAAGGACATGCTCTTGCTGCAGCCTGCGTGTCCATCCTCTAGGGGAAGGTCTGGACGGAAATCAAATAGAAGACATGGCTTGGGCTCAAGTCAAGAGCTCCTTATGTACCATATATATTAAATAAATGTTCAAGTCGATCTATACCAATCAAGAATTTTGTTAGCAAGAGAGATTTCCATTTGAAAAGGTGATATCTGTTATTACCAAATGAGTTTTGGCAAAATATCTAAACCAATGACACATTTTTTAACACTTTTAGTCAATGCAATGTTAGAGGTTTTATAAACAGAAGTTAGGATACTGACGTTTTCTTTTGCTATGTTTCTTCTCAAATGGTTCTGTGGTATTTTCAAAGTCCTTTCTTCAAATGCTTCAGAAAACATTCTTGAACAACTGTGGAAGGACAAGTTAGATAAAAGTCAAACAAAAGTAGTCTGAAGCACCTTTTTTCAAAACTTATTTCCAGTCTTACTTCAAAGCAACAAACGTCTCGTTTATGTTCAGGCAAGAATTTGCCAGTGGTCTCTTATAAATCTCAGCTGAAGTTAAACAGCTTGAGCACGAAAGCTGAGTAAACAGCCGTGTGTCTTCTACTCCTGCACAATCTATGAACTCTTATTTGTATGCATAATGAGCACTCCACAAATTATTTAATGCCTCGTATCAATTATTTTAAGCACTGAAAATAGTGTGTCATATGAGAGTATGTGACTAATGGCTTTGGCCAGAGAGGAATATTATAACAGCGCTACGCCACAGAATGCTTAGTGTCATTTGTTTCAGTAATATAAAAGATTTTACATTCCTGTATGGTAATGAGATCTTGGAAATCAGGTTTAAAGGGGTCATTCACTCAAAATACAAATTTTTTATTTTTTTTTTACTTACCTCTCATGTTATCTTGCCATGCAGTTTTGGTTTAATTTGTCAAGGTTTTGAGGTATCCATTAGAGATTTCAGCATGCACATATCCCATTACAATGAAATTGAATTGCAAATTGGATTTTTGTTTGAAGTGAAGTATTTCATTAAAAATGTTTGCAACCAGTCTCTGTCCACTCTTACTCTGGATTAGATATATATGTATGCATATATGTGTGTGTGTGTGTGTTGATATATAAAAGCCTATTTCTGCCCGGAAAAGAATACAATTGTCACTATTACACTATTAATATTACAAAAGTTTTCAAGGTAGAGAATGACCTTTCATAAAATGGATGCAATGTTCAAAGGAATGATAAAATTATAACTTCATTAATTCAATTCATATTCTGCATTCTAGAAAAATTAAACGATAATTTAATTTACCAACTAATCATGATGAGTTTGCTTATTCTGTCTTTAAATGATGAATTCATTTTCAAAAATCTTTTGAATACATATATACGATTTTTTCTTATTTAATGTATGTGTCTGCCAATCATATACCATCTCACAATTTATCTGTTTCCTGGTTTAAGATTAAGTTCAATTTCATGATTGCTTTAAAGGGCCAGTGTGTAGGATTTAGTGACATCTACCGGAGAAGTTGCAGTATCCAACCAACTGAAGGAGAAATTATAGTGGCCGTGAAACTCAGTGTTTGTCCATTCTGGGCTACTGTAGAAACATTGTTATTATTATTATTATTATTATTATTAGTAGTAGTAGTAGTAGTATTTCTTATTATTATTATACACTAATAAAAACATATCTGTGAATATTATATTCCATTTTGCCAATAGATCCTTATAAATGTTACACACTGCCCCTTTACTTTAAAGATGCACAAGCAGCATGCTGCCTAAAACCTAAATGAAACTCAGCAGGAGCTCTGATTGGCCAGACTCGTCTGAGCTCCAGCTGTAAAACTTTTGACTTTATAAGCCAAAATGTTGACTTATCTCTTATTTTGATTTAGAAAGTCCACATGTTGATCATATTTTTTTATTTAATCACGCCTAACTTTTTTTTTTTCTCGGCACAATTGGGCTTCCGTATAATTCCAGTGAGGCGAGCTAGAAAATGTTTTGGGGTTTTAACCTTTAATTTCACATCTGCACTAAAACACTAAAGTAGCAAACAATAATGTCTTGCCAGTATGTAAAAGTAAATAGGCTATATGTTGATATCATAGTCTCCTCTCTATCTCTCTCTCTCTCTCTCTCTCTCTCTCCATCTCTTTGCGCGTGCACTGGGGCACAGAAACGCAGCAGCAGCAGCAGCTCTGATCTCTCGTCCTCTATCTCCTGTTTTCTGTTGAATACTGCCAGCTGCAACTTTTGTCGCCGCACAGCTGCCGGTGGTTCCTCCTCACACACACACACACACACACACACACACAACAAGCTGGATTCATTAAAAGTCGAGAGAGGCAGCTGGATGATGTCATATCCGTGAAGAAGGGTCCCTACAACCGAAACGCACCGAGGATTGTCGCTGCATGCAAGCCCACAAACTTTTTTCTCCCCTCCTTGCAGTGACGAGGTTTCTCCCCGCTGCCCACATGGCGTGCGTAACGGGGACGAGTGGATGGATGTGCCCCCCTCCTCCCCAGGAAGCCACGGTTTCTACCAGCGCTTAGTGGACGAGGTGGCGAGAGCCCCGCGGGCAGAAACTCACGTGAAAATTGTTGTTCCCGTAGCGGAGGAGGCGGAGGAGGGAAACAGTGCAGCAGCCGGCAGAATGTGGTCGCTGTCCGTGGTCCTTAACCCGCTGCTGTTCCTGCTGCTGTTTGGATACTGCCCTTCAGTGGTGAGTTCACTGCCTTGTCGTTTGTCTGTTAGAAGGATAGAATAAACTTCAACACGAGCTAAAGTGTGTAATGTTTTTAAAGTTCTGTTGACTGGGGATGTTTTTTATTAGGGTGGAGCACTGCACAATCTTGAATCGGTGAATGAGCAACAACAGAGACATGAGTCATTTCAGTTTGGAGGCATTATTTGCTGGAATGCTTGTTTTCCAGCAGCCTGGACTCCCAGCATTGGCAGCAATTAACACCAATATGTGTGGGGGAAATGTTTGGAAAGAAAAAAAAAAATCAGAAATAAAAAAAAAATACTGAATTGAAAGTGGTGGCTGAGGAAGAGGCATCCTCGCAGCACTCATGTTTATTGCCTACATCAACCACATAGCAGTGCTATTGATCCTGGAGACTTGCCAGGCATATAACTCACTTTTAAGGGAGAGTTCAATCATTGTAAAAAAAATAAATAAATAAATAAAAACATTGCTGCTGTGAATTATATCCAAATCCCCTCCCCGACAGAAGAACTGCACTAAACATCTTGATACAGGCATATTCTCTCCCTCTCTCCCACTGTGTGAAACTGACTTTAACTGAAATGATTCATTAATGTTTGATGCAGTTTTAGCAACACAATTGCTTGTTCTCTCAATTGATATACCTGCCTTATTTTATGTTTTTTTTTTTTCTTTTAAATGTGATGTGATTCATCCTGCCTAGTTTAAGCTTTCCAAAATGGGAATGCATTTGGGAGCATTATCGCAAATTAGGAGGAGCAGCTTGCAGATCACCAAGCCATTTGGACAAGAACAATGGTCGATTAGGTTCATCCCACCCATGCAGAGTACAATCCCTGTGCCAGTGTCTTGATTGCAAAGCAGTGTCCTCACAGACTATATCACCTTGCCATGATTGAAAGTGGTGTGCAGCATTAATGTTTCTCATTTGTTCACAAAAACAGGAAATGTTTACAGGCTAAGTCGATACTCGGAACTGTGCAGATATCTGTCAGAAAGTCTAAATAAACTGTGGAAAACAAAAGAGGAAGCAGCTGTCTGATATATTTAATGAGAGAAAAACTCTTTGTGTGCAGAGTTCCTCACAAATAAAAAGCCAAGTTGGAGAGTGCATCTGGCTTGGCTGAGCTACAGATTCATTTTAATATGAGGAAATGTGAGAGTGAGAAGAGGGGAGAGGATGTGCGTCACTCAAGAGACAGAGGAGAAAGACCGTTTTAACAGATTAGTGAAACTTGCTTCTTTTTTGGAGCCTTTCAAAGCAGAATAAGGAAAAGAAGAGGGTGTTTTTTTTTCTTCCTCTTTTATCCCATTCAGCTATGATGCCATGAAAGAGAGGCAGATTCCAGCTACAGTCATGGTGCATCAAGCCATCCAGTATCTCTAATAATTTCTTAGACTACTACACTGTACCACACATGACCAGCAGATATCTCAGTGCAATGCCATTTGAACTGCTGCTGCTTTTTTGAGTAATTTTCATGAAATCCACATTTTGCATTAGAGTTCAGGCGACAAGGTGAGATTATTATATTCTACTTGCATTGCTTTTATCTAATAATCATATCAGGAACAACTTAACATCAGGGCATCAATAGAATACGCTTTAATTCCTAGATCACAAACTTTACCAGGAACCAATATCGAAGTGGGCAAAGATCAGGGCTGTAGTGCTTTGATAATACCTGAAACAATTTCTTACAATCTGATAACAACAACATAAGAGAGTTGTGCTGGGGAAAAGAATGAAAACTCAGGAGATTGATAGCAAAGAGGGTTATTTTTTAAATTTTTTTGACTTCAAGATAAGAAAGCGAAAATAGATGTGGCAGAGAAGTCCAATGTTTAAAATAGTCATAAAATAACATAACATAATTTCTGCATTGCAAAACATAAATTCAGTGTTTGAGCAGCCATTTAATTCTTAAAACACATGACTTTGTAAGGCACTAATTTTAATTTTATACACAAAAAGCAGTCTCTTAGCAGGTGAAGATGATGAGTCAAAGACTGAGCTTTCTCCTTGGCGTGACGTCTTTGCCTGCTCAGAGGAGACATGATCTTTCATGGCTGTTTCCAAGCGGTCTTTAAACTGTTCAGGCTGACAAGGAAGGATGAATGGGAGAAGGAAAGCATGTCGGCACTATGAAAACAGGGCACTTAACTTTTCTATCCACGAGCATCAAAAGGCTGGCGGATGCCAAAGCTCACATGTTTCACATGTTATTTTCCAGCCAGATTGCGTTTTAGAATGTAAAACACTATCCAAATAATTGTTGGTTGTCTGCCAAAGACACTGGTAGTGCAGACAAATTTACCATCCGCAGTCAAAGGTTGCCAGTATTTGGCTGGAGGCTTGTGTTAATTTCCCATGCTGACAGTAAACAGCAGTATTGTTCAAATAGGGATGCTGTTTGTGTGTCTGATAGCTATCAACTTTTCCAGCACTTCAGGACACTGATCAATATTTGGAGCAAAACAAGTTTTTACTGTGTACACTCTTGACATTAGTTGATGGTGCTGCATTAAAATATGCTGCATTGGCTTATGATGCATAACTTTATGTTCTTTAAGCTTTAAACTCTAGAGCTGTGGAGCATATTGAATGTAATAAAGAATGGGAAAAGCTCCCACAAATCAGGTTTATCTGCGTCTCCCAGCAGGACTTTCAGTTAAGGCATTGGAAGGCCTGGTGAGGAGAAACAGAGGAATTTCAGCTCTTGGGTTATTCATCAAGGCCAGGAAACACTATTTATTGTTGGAGAGGAAATTCACTGGAGACCATATACTGTGGAGGACTATCTTACAGCAAAAGCACTTTAAGGCCAGACTTTTTATAAGTCAGTGGAATTGGTTGCTGTCAAAGCATTGGGGGCATAAGGCAGAAGAATGGATGACCCATGAGGAAAAAATATAAACACATAATAGCAGTGTGCTGCAATTTCATGATAGTGATATCATCTGTGTTGAATTTATTTAGTGTGTCTGTCTGTGGATGTGTGGGCTGTGTATTTATGACTGTGCCTGTGTTTCTGTATGCAGACCATCCGGCCAAAGGAGGGGTGGCAGGTGTACAGCTCAGCTCAGGATGCAGATGGGCGTTGTATCTGCACAGTGGTGGCACCTGAACAGAATCTGTGCTCCAGAGATGCCAAAGGCAGACAGCTCCGCCAGCTCCTGGAGAAGGTATGCGCACACAGCCACACACATTTCGGTTTACTTGACAATGCACTCTCCAGCACACAGTTTTACTGTAAGCAACCAGAACACCTACATTCATAGACATATAACATTGATTTCTATCGGTATTCATGCTTCATTGTTGCCCTAATCCTCTGGGAGATTGTAACAGCCAGGTCCATAACCCTATTTTCCACTCTTGCTTATATTACATGGATGACATCAACTGCATGGTTGCTTGTAAAAGACAAGAACACTCTCCATCTCACCTTAACAGAAATGGAGTACCGCCGTTTTTTTGTTTGTTTTTTTTGCAACAAACCATTCGAGGCTCTTGTGAAGGTTTTGAGTATTATCAGGCTTTAAGCATCTGATTAGGAATGTTATTTCTGTTGGAAAGTGGACTATTATCTGAAAATCAGCTTTTCAAGATTTTGTGTTATTTATTTCTACTACCATGGATTTTTAGTAAATAAAAGTGTGTGGTTTGAATTGCCAACATCATGAACTGAAGTAGAAACATAATTTCCAAATGAAATAGTTTTTTTTCCCCCTTGAGAGTAGTGATTTAACGAATTAGCATTGAACAAACAAACAAACAAACAAATAGCAAAGCACCGGAGTCACTTTCCTCAATTAAGATGCCATATAAGGAAACATTTCTCTAGCCTACATTTTAATGTTGCATGCCAAAGGGTGTTCTCTGTCATTCACTAGGGCCTTTGACACTAATGTACTAAGCTGCCTAAGGGCTTCAGTGAGGCCATTTCAGGATCCCTCTACCAGAGCCAGAAAAGTATGTGGAACACAATGTATGAGTGTTGCGCCACTTTGCTAGTGATGTGCTCCAGTAGTGTTGGTTGGTTACAATTAGAGCCAAAGAGAGAAGACAGAAAAGACCACATTTCTTCTTGTTCACATGCCCCATAAACCCAGCGAGCTTTTGTTAAACCAGACAGAGACACTGTAACGTTTCTGTGTCAAATATCTACTATGAAAAATGTTATAAAAGCTAGCAGATTCAGTAGTTTATCCATGACATTTAAAAACAGGCAGTTGGCTTTGAATTATAACTGATAAAGTGAAGTATATGCTTGAAAAACCAAGCAAGAATAGTCCCTTATCCATGTAAAATCCACCCAGAGCTCTATTCAGGTCACACATGGATGCTTAAAAGACAATCACATTGGAGGTCAAAATGTTGATTTGTTCCTTGGGAAGTTAGAGCATGGCAGGCTACTGAACGGCTGAACATGGAGGACATTTTAATCTCATGGTGGACGGAAAAATCAATGGCGCACTGTTTTCATTCTTTTCAAAAGGTGCAGAACATGTCGCAGTCAATCGAGGTGCTGAACCTGCGGACACAGAGGGACTTTCAGTATATCATGAGAATGGAGAGCCAGATCAAAGGACTCCGGTCAAAGTTCCGACAGATCGAATCGGACAGGAAGACGCTCGTCAACAAAAACTTTCAGGTATATTTTTGTTTGATGTTAAACTTTTTGAAAAACATCACAGGAATAGGCTGTGAAAGGATCTCCTCTCAAGTTACCTGAGAAGCATCTGAAATGATAAACTTTCATTCCTGATAAGATCAATACAGAAGCTACCACTGCCCGGCCAAGGACAAAATCGCCTTAAGAGCCAGACATGCTGTGAAAGCAGCATCCAGCATGGGTTCTTAAAGTTCATTTATCAGTGAGAGAGACAAGGTACTGATGGTTACATGAAACATTTCCATTATCCATTCATTACCCACTAGAAAACTGCATGTTGGCAAAGAGTGTTGTACTTTTTACAGCAGTGATCAATTACAATAGTTTTATTAACAACAGCAGTGTTGTTAAGTAACATAAACCCATCTGTTACATCATGTCGTACATATGCCTTCTTCTTCTTCCTGTCACAAACTTTAGAAGAACAGAAATGATTCCGGTTTTTTTTTCTAAATCTGTAATGAATTTACAAAATGACTATATCACAATTGATAAAGCTTAAAACATTTGAAATAGACCCCGACCAGACATCCCCTTGAAATTGTACAGAAATAATGACAAAATAGGGACAGCAATGTAAAGAAAGACACAAACAATAACACTAAACCAACAGCAGATAATAATAATTAATTTAATAAGAGACTAGTTTTAGAGATTCAGATTTTAATAGTGACTCCACTTCTGAACCCCACTGTAAAAAAAAGTTTTGATGCTATGGCACGTATCGCCAATTAAAATAATTCTTATGGAGAAGAACATTGTATTTTCAGAGAAGAAGAATGGATTTACACAGAGTTTGACATTTTATAATTGACACTGACATTACATAACAATAATAATCACAGCAATTACTATAGTAATTATTACTATTATCATCCATCAGTGAAATTTGTTTGGGTGTACAGCTTCTCCCTCCTCATTTCTGTATGCTCTTTCTCGTGATAAACTTTGCAAAAATAACAATTACAATTTTTATTTTTTTACATTAATAAAAAACAAATTATACCAACTTATAGGTGAAAGAAGAATCTCTATTTTGTGCCATAAAACCCCATGAAACAGATGCATTAGAAACAAACTGAACTCTCCTTGCCAGGATGAGATTAGTTAAGACAGGTATTTTGCAGTGGTGTATTCTTTGTGTTTTCTAGGAGCTGAAGGGAAAGATGGAGTCCCTGCAGCCGCTGATCCCTGTCCTGGAACAATACAAGACAGACGCCAAGCTCATCTCCCAGTTCAAAGAGGAGATCAGGAACCTGTCTGGTGTTTTGATGGGCATCCAGGAGGAAATGGGAGCCTACGACTATGAGGAGCTGCAACAGAGGGTCCTAAACCTGGAAAATCGGCTCCGCAACTGTATGAATAAACTCAGTACGTCCATCGCAGAAAAAGCTGATTCAGGCATGGTGACCACAGATTAGGCGACAGCAGAGGGATCATAGGCACATTTCTTGCAGCTAGCGGCAGATTGGCATTTTAGATACAGAGGAGGGAACTGAGTAGATCTGCTACCAGAGGCAGAAATAATGTTTGGCATGATTCTGTTTTCAGAGTCAAAGAAAAAAGCTTTGTACTCCTTCTGGTTCCTTCTTTGCCATTTGCAGTTTGGCTCCACCAATCCATGTTTAACTCATCTAATAAGATCAATTCTGTCTCCAGAGCAGCTTTGCCTCTGATAAAGGTTTGCATGACTAAACTCCAATTTGCCAACTGCCAGGTTATCAGCACTGATGGAGCCTGTCAAAGTGTCAATGTAAATAGCTAACATGTGAATGCTAATGGGATGTGGATGGAAATCTGTCTGCGCTTGAGATGATTACTTAAGCATTCATTGTGCATGAGCTTTGATTGATTAGCTAAAATAGCAGTTAAATACTTAATAGGGAACTTGCAAGCTTGCGTGCAAGTGATAGCTTACTGTCATTTGGCACAATTAAAGTGTCTGGGAAGATGAATTAAGCGCAGCTCAAGTACTTCAAATATTAAACCATGTGGGATAAATGTTAACCCAGCCCTGTCACAAAGCAAGGGGTTTTTACTAGTTGTTGTATTGTGGCAGTTTCTCTACCCTCTATAAAAGCAGAAAAGAGCATGTTGTAAGGTCCAGATGCTGAACACAGAAAGTCCAGATATAGAACTTTATTTCTTTTTTTTTTTTAAAGGAGCCAATACCAGATTTGAGCAATCCAGTGCTTTGTGATTTAGTCCAGTATCATCATCAAAACATTGGCTGTAGCTGCTGGTGCAGTTTGTGTTGTATTTGACCAGAGCTGTGTGTGATGTGTTCACAGCATGTGGCAAGCTAATGAAGATCACTGGGCCGCTGACAGTGAAAACTTCAGGGACCAGATTCGGAGCCTGGATGACCGACCCACAGGCATCTCCCAAAAACAACAGGGTGAGCCGAGTAAATGTGCTATGCTGTGTGTTTCAAGTCTTTGAAGCAACAGCGAGCGGTTTAATGATTTACATACAACTGCTTCCCTCCTGTTGTTCAGGGGGTATAGATGTCGTCATCACTCTCACTAAAACTTTGTTTTGTACACTTGACTGCTGGGATCAAACATAGAAGTTGATGTCGCTTGCTGGACATTTTGATGTGTTTGTTCCATGATGGGATTCTTTTAACACTTTCAACACTAACTGAGTTACTGGAAAAGTTTACACTTTATTTCCATGTGTTTTGCCACAGTTACTTCAGAAGCGTGTTTTACAAAATTGGTAAAAAGGAAAGCCTTCATATATGCCACAATATGGCTGAAGCTTTGTCAATTATCCACTGAGCACTAGACACAATAATGGCCTGCCGTTGAATTATGCAACACATACATTTCAAAATGAAAGAGCACAACAAACTATGAAAAACCAGCACACAAACAGTCACAGAATAGAGTCAGTGGAATGAGTACAGGGTCCCCTTATGTAGTTTTCATGTAAAGATACATGTTTTGTCTACATTCAGCTACATTGTGGGTATCCTTGAGGCCTAATGGCCTGGATGCAAGACCTATTTTTTGAATACAAAAAGACTGTCAAGGCCAAGTAACACTCTCTAGGATTGAAGTAAAAAAAAAAAAGAGAAAAGAACAGAAAAGAAAAAGCCAGCCTCAATATCAACATTAGGCTCTTAAACTCCACAAGGATGCTACAGCCTCGGCCAACATTAGTGTATCTCACAGGCTGTAGCGTGCTCAGTTTTAGCTAGAGTAAAGATACCGGTATCATATGAAATTAGATCACCTAAGGCATCCATTGACGTCAATCATGTCATGCTAGCTTAATGTTCAAAAGTTAGCCTAAATTTTGGCAAGGGGAAAACTGGCATGGCGTTTTTCAAAGGGGTCCCTTGTCTTCTCACCTCAAGGTATCTGAATGAAAATCAGTTCTAAAGTCATGCCCACTTTATTTTATTATTTTTTGCAGTATAAATGTGTTATTGTTGCCTATAATAAAAAAGATTATATTTGAATATTTCTGCATACTGGCGTCCCTAAACAGTTTTGGAAATGCATAAATTGTATATAAATGGAAGAGACTCTTGTGGATTCAGTGAGCCCAATTATAAGTGTTATGATGGTCCCAATAAACATAACAAAACATTATCACAGAATTCTGAGTAGAAAAACCTGATACACAGTGCTGAATTGCCT